AGCTCCTGTTCACAGGTCACCTGCTCAACCTGTTGAGCTGCCACAGCACCCACATGTATAAGGTTTCAGGCGGATCGGAGCATGTCCAGGTTACACAGCGCTTCCTGTTTGATGGCAAATAGTTATAATCCGGTGCGCTGCCATTTCTATGCCGTTAGACTTTTGCGGAACATCGTGATAACTTTTAATCACCAATCTCGCTGTTTAGTCAAAACGGCGGACTTCCTGTCGGGTTTAGGGTCTCTGGGTTGTTTGTGCGTCGTGATGTGATACAGATGTCGACCAGATCTCGTAGGTCGAGGCGATACGTTGTCCCGGCAGAAATTTTGGAGCCATTTTGCCACTCGTGCATATTTTGGTGAGTTTTTGATCATGTTTAGGAGCTCTAAGATGCATTTGTTTCATCAAAAAAACTAATTTTAAGAATCAGAAGGATTCCAGTAGGATCTTCTGTTGATAGAACCCTGATTAATATCCTCGAAGGTTTCAGTGCTTAAACTGGGCTGGTGCTGGACAGCAGATGTCGGATCAGTCGTAGAAATCTGCAGCTTAAGTTTGCTGGAAGTTCAAGTCAAGTCCCAATTAAATTAAATTAACCAAAGTGATTTAGAGCAAAACAAAAGATCGCCGTAATTCATCCAATACGTCTAAACAGTGGATTGGTTATGAACGGTGTGATTTTTACCTGCTTCATTCACACATTAGGGATTAGAACCCTACAGAACCCTATGATGTCATTAATTATTCAGACTTTATGTTAAAACTTAATATAAACACTGAAGCATTGTGGTTTATGTGAATAGTTTGCAACTAAAGTTTTAATCCTACATAAAATATACATGAAAACCCAACAAATTCAAGAGTTTTTTTGTCTTTTATGTGGATTGTTTTATGTTTTGTTATCATTTTACTGTATTATGAAAGAGCTTCCACGACTTGTCGGCTGAAACGTGGACGAGGAGGAAGTTTGTGAGGCGTCTCGATGACTTTAAACGGGTTTAAAACTCGTCTCAACAGAGTTCGGCTGGTTTTTGGTGATTTAGTCTGTTGACAATACAAGAAACGGAGCGAGTTTGATCTCACCTGTCAGCTGCTTTAGGAGGGAAAACTGAAACCTGTGAGCGCCTTCTGATGACAAAGATGGTTTAAATCATCCTACTTTTACACTTTTTAGTGATTAAAAACTAGATCTTTTTGTGTTTGGCTCATTATATGACTTATTCAATAGCATGGAAATCAAACAGAATTCAACATTTTGAGGACAAAATAAAAATAAAAATGCATTTTTATAATCATATTTAATGAAAGCCTTGTATTTTCAGATATTTGTTTCAGAACAGAGACCAAGCTGTACTAATTCTGTAGGAAAATGACTTTAAACTATTTGAAAAGAAGCCAGTTTTAGTTTTAGTTTAATTCGTGATATTCTTACATTTGTGCTTGTAATCGTGTTTTTATTCACTAAAGTCAACATGAATTCTCCAGAGAGCAACAAGAACGTCTGCACAGAACGTCAGATAGTTTGTTTTAAGGAGAACCGGATCAGGTTTTAGCGTTCTGAGGTTCAGTCTGAAGCGTCTTCAACAGAATCCACTTGTCTGCAGGTCCAGACTGTCTGAAGACCAAGATGTCTGAGCTGCGTCTGTACTGCGACCTCCTCGTCCAGCAGGTGCAGGCCATCCAATCACAGCACACCGCCGACACAGAGGCCACGCCCACTTCAGAGGTGACCCTTCCGTTTGTGCCAAACTCACCTCGTTGCTCTTATTTCTGAAAATGGATGTTTATTGAGAAGTGAGAGACACGTTTCATTTCCTTTATTTCAGGGTAATTAGTCCTGAAAAGAGAATGAAAATCCTCCTAAATTAAAGCTGTTCTCAGGTTCCATATGAACACATTCATGTGTGACAAATGGTCCAGAACTTCTTCATCTTCTTCCTTTAAGATGCTACATAAAAATCAAGCCGTGTGTTCGTGATATGACGTTTTGCCGAGAACGTGGGAGTAAAATCATCCGTTGAAGAACATTTCAAATCAACTTAAAATGCATTTAAGTTGATTTCAGGTTGTACTGGTTCATGCTGCAGCTCAGCAGGATTCTGTTTCAGCTTTTTAAATGACAAACTGGGTTTTCAAACAGATTTAAGTTTTGTTTTCAGCTGGTTTGATATAATTCGATTGGTTTGCAGTTATATTAATTAACACTTAATTTCATCTGACCTCCTCAGAATCAGCTACAATAACTTTAATATATTTACTGAAGCCGTGCAGAGTTCCAGGCCTTGACGTCCATAGAGGAGGGTCCAGATTTATCACTTTAATGGACTTTTTTCATCATTTCTGAGCCAGAACTTCATCAGTTCAGCAGATAGACATTTTAGGAGGAAGAACACACCTGAGTTCTGGTTGAAACTGACACCAGATCGGTTTTACATCCAAATATTTGTAATGTCGTGTCTAAAATGTCTCATGATTTCTCCACAATGACTGAAAATTTTCCACAATGAGAATAAATAAAACTTCAGCAAAACATCTTGAAACTTTACAAAATGGCAAAAATCAGTCAGAAATCATCTGAAACTAAATAGTTGAAAAAAAAAATAAACAAATTTACTTAAACATTGTCCAAAATGTCTAACTGGTAGCATCAGTATTATGGGATGTCTGGGAGTGTGAACAGTTTAATGTCTATAGAAACAATCATCGGTACCCTGGATGTGTTTCTGGTTCTGATCATTCACCAGACTTTACAAAGTGCATTCTGGGTAAACTTTCCAGGCTCCTGTTGGTCAGAACCAGTTCTAGACGATGGAAGGACCGTTTTACCTCCAGAACGCACCAGAACTGTTTATAGACAGGATCCATTCTGTGGCTAAATCATTTTCTAGTCCAGACATATTTTAAAACCTCTGAAAGAATAATTTGGACAAATTGCATAAATCAAACAGGTTTTGAGTTTTCAGCGCTCGCCTGAGAGTCTTTTAAATTCTGCTCCGATAGTGTTGATAGATAACCATCATTAATCTACCGATCTGTCAGAGTGATCTCGGCTAAAAATAAACTAGAGACAGAAACACCAAATAGATTTATTCACCATGACTGACAGTGAGGAGACACATTTGTTCTACTTTATCTCAAATCGTACGATCAAGTGACCGTTTGCAGCTTTTGTATTTCCGTGTTGGTGTCGTTTTTAAAGCTACAGATGATTGTTATTTTCTCTTCAGGCTTCTCTGCTCAGCGCGACCTGCACGACCTTCATCAGGACGCTGGAGGAGTGCATGACGTTGGCCAACCAGAGTCTGACCCCCGACCTCCGACCTCCTGAACGGGTAACTTCAGCTTCTCCTGCTGATTGAGTCCAGCAACACCAGCGAGTGCAGCCTGGAAATCATTTGGTTTCTCCATAAAATACTGTAAAATCTTGACTTTAACCTGTAGATTAATGAGGAAAATGTACAATTCTAATGCAACAAATAATCGAGGTTCTCCACAAAAATCAGTGACTAAATAAGACGTTTGGTTTCAGTGGTTGATAGAATCTTCAAAAATAGTCGTTTGTCTCACAAATGTGAAGCTCTGTGGTTCAGATTCTGTGGTTTTAAAGGGCTTAAAACAGATAACATCCTCTCATTGTGACCCAAAGACACTCCACACATGCTTTTCTGAGTCTCAGCATCATTCAGGACGTTATTTTCATTCTCATTTCCAGTAAATAGCCACCTCCTGACATGGGACTCAACCGCAAACAGTGATCATGTCCATGTTTGGTCTCTAAAATGTTGAAAAATGCATATTAGTGTTTTCCAAAGCACAAGATATAGAGTTTACTGTCACAAAAGAGGAAACAAGCCAGAAAATATTCACATTTGAGAAGCTGCAGAGCATCTGTTTGACTATTTTCCATAAATATTGAGTCCAACTGATTATCCGGTCACCTAAATAGCTGATAGGTGCCTCATTTTCTCGCTGGACCTTCTAATCTAACAGTCTGAGCTTGTTATTGTGATAAAATTAACTGACTGTAACTCTTATTTTATACGTACACATCTCGTGCAGAAACAAACTAAGAACATTATTGAAATTTCAAGCAAAATTTTATTATTTTACTGTCAACAAAACTCTTCTCTGTGAACCTCATCTCGATGTTTAATCTGTAAAAATGGACCATTGTGGTTTAAATGATTTTATTCCTGGTGGCTGCTAATTCCTGCGCCGGATGAGAAACGTCTTCCTCCAAACGATTCAATCACAGAGCTTTAATTTGGTCTCGACTGCATGTTTGTTTTATTCTCATTGCGTTCGTTTTTCTCCCTCCGCGGTTCCTGTGCACGTTATTTAATGCTCTGCTTCCCTTTAATCGCCTCGACGCCTGCAGGCCGAAGTAAGAGCCTCTGCAAGAAAACAATCCGAAGAATGCCACAAAAAAAAAAAGAAATATCACGACGTGGACGTTCTCTGTGGAATGAAGTCAGAGGAAATATATTAGAAGTTTAAAGGCGTCGTCACTGAAGACGCTTGTTTGGTCTCAGTGTTATTTAGAACAAACACAAGTTGGTTTTATTGCAGTTTGTTGTTTCTTCAACCCAACGAAAGCTGAGAAACTGAAAGGATCAGTTTTAATACGAGAGAACCTGTTTTGTTGTGTTGCAGATGAAGAGGTCCATCAGCCACCCTGGAACGTACAGCTTCGACAGGTGAGTTCACGTCTGCCTCCTTTTGCAGCTCAGCAGGTTGAAGAAAAAAAATAACGATTAGAGAAACAAAAACTTCAGCTTCTATTACTTCTGTGAGTAATCTCGTTAAATCAAACTCCCAGAAGCGACCTTCTGTCCAATTAAAAACAGGAGAAGCGTAGATTTTTAAGCAGTTTGTTGTAATGAATGCCTGCTTACTGAATAACTACCAGCTGTGGCCTGTAGGGGGCAGAGTTGCAGCAACCTTCGGTACTTCAGGCCTTTTAAAAAAGCAGTCAGGCGCTCAGCTGAACATTGAAACAGATTTTTACTTCCTCATTCCGTGCAAAAGTACTTTGAAAGTCAAATTGTGACTGTGCAGAAGGAACAAAGGTCTTCTGTAGCGTGTTTCCTCTGAGGTCAGAGGTGCAAAACAACAACGTCGACCTGAACAGCATCCAGGAAAAACACTTCAGTTCACAGTTTTATTTCACATTCAGGATGACAGCTGATATGAAGAGTGAGATCCACTGCAGCTTCATGTAAGCAGAGAATCCAGTGATAATATTCACAGCATAGATCAGCAGCAGCAGCAGGAGTGTTTGAGTTTATGGAGGATCTGAACCCGATCCTGCTCGTGACCTGAAGACTCTTCTTACTCGGTGACGGATGTTCTGTAGGATCTGCTTTAGTCTTCATGCAGCTGCAGGAGACAAAATGCATTTACATGGACGTTAATGTCAAACAAACACAAAGCAGAATGTTTTATCACCGTTGAGATGAAGAACGTTTCCTTTACGCTGTCCTCCCGTCAGGTCGGGCGTCCTGAAGGAGTTCGTCGGCGGAGGCCAAAAGTCGACTCAGCGCAGAAACCGGACGTGTTCCGACAGCTCGGTCTACGACACTGAACGTAAGAAGAGCCGACGTTTTTTATTATGTACACAAGAAACGCTGTGATTCGGTGAATTCCGGGAAATAAAAGACACTGTAGGGAGATTATAAATAATGCAAAGTTAGAGCCACGTTAATGGGAAACATGCCAGGCTGGGAGAAAGAAAGAAAGAGAGAAAGAAAGTTAGCGGTTTTGTTCTTGAAAAAAATATTTCAATACCCTAAAAGTCATGTTGTGTTTTACATTTACACCATTTATTAACAAGAAACTGTAAAAACTGAAAGCTTGAAATTGTGATATTTCATCAACAGATTGCACCAGATTCATGAACCTTCCAGTTAAACTTGAGCAGATTAGAGACAAAGACCTTCAGAATTGATTTGATGGATAATCAGTTAGTCGTTGGCTTTATAATGAAATAGAATTACTGTCTACAATAATCATTTTCCCTCATTTAAGGACTTTGTATAATCTCAGCTGTATTTGTGTTTATTTCTTGGTCATTTTCCCCCATCGTGGCTTTAATAAATGTTTTAAAAATTACCCCCAAAAAAGCCAAAGATGACAAACTTCGCGTCTTATTTTGTTCAAAACCCCAAAATATTCATAGAATTTCAACTTTTTTTCTTTTAAAAATGACTGAAACTAATTAATTAATTATCGATATGGTGGGCGATTCATTCAACAGTTAATCTAAAAACTAATTAAATCGATTAATTGTTGCCGCACCACTAAAAACAGATGAATGAAAGATTATCTGGAATACGAGACCATCAGATCTCCCAGCTCAAACCACAGTAATGAGAAATATGAATAAACAAACCAGAATGAACCATTTATAATAATGTCGAGTCCTTTCAATCTCAGGTCATCAGTTTCAGAACCATTTCTGACTTAATCTGTGCTCAAAGATGGAACTTTTCATGACTCACCAATAATCAGATTATTTGATCCAAGATTACAGATTCTGAATTAACGACATGATGAGAAATAACAGTGAAGGTTTCAGCTTTTTATCTTTAATAGTTCCTCAAATTTCAATGTGAGGACAAAAAAACCTTGACTACTTGAAGCATCGACTACATGTTTCTTCCACTGTTAATTTTTGTCATTTGCTCCCTAACTCGATCCCTGAACGTCGGTTTTCTTTCGTCCAGGTGACCGAACCAAAGCTCCGGTTTGATCTGAACTCCTGAATGAATCCAACTCGCCTGAAAAATCTGCTGTTTGTCGTTTTCAGGTTTGCTGCCGAGCCTCAACGGCGACTCGTCCTCCATCCCTGAGGAGCGAGGAAGCAGCCTGAAGACGACGCCCACCGACACCGACACCGACCTGTCCATCTGAGGTCCACCTGAGGTCCACCTGAGGAGAACCTGCAGAAGAAAACACCACCAGATCAGTCGACGTCAAATCGACCTCCTGAGAACGTCCCTCTTGATCGCCAAACACTGTGGAGTCATTACTTATCGTTCCTTAAGGCTTTTTTTTTTTTAATTTAGGTGTTTCAAACTGTAGGGCAGGATGAGACGTCAGGAGATTCCTCAGCTGGACTTTAACACATTCGATGCTTTAATCTGCTGGAATCCGAGGAAACCCTCGTGTTTCAGCTCCTCACTGTGGACGGACGCAGCGAGTCAGACCTGCAGCTGCCGTTGAATCCACTGGATGATTGTACCGAGCTGCAGTCGGAACACAACCAACTGTGAATTCCTGTTTTCTGGACACGTTTCGACGCCGGCGCTGCTTTAAGCGGACGCAGGAATGTACGCAGCCGTCGTCTTGTGGCCAAAAAAATTCTCACACAGCCAAAAGTTTTTTGAAATCCAGTAACGTGAGAAGCTTCTCTCTTCTGCCTTTTTCAGCGAGAACTCTGAACGTCTTCTTCCCTCTTGTGCAGCATCTCCTGTATTATTCTTCCAGCCGTCCGTCCTCCTGTATCTGAAACCGGGCTGATAAGTGGTGTCTTTGCAGGATCCTGAGGCCAGTTTTTTTCTCCACCACATTGTTCCAGCAGAGCCGAGACGCTTCAGACGCTCGAGTTTGCACAAATCTCTCCACATCAAAGCCGCCACCTTTGAACCACAACAGAGTTTTCGGTGTTTGTTTTCCACCTGAACTCCGGTCAGGTGAAGGGCGTCTCTAATTACAGCCGCTGCCTCGTGATGCGTCTGGCGGGGGTTTCCAGCCGAGCGACGCCACGTCGACACAGAACTGGATGATTCTACGTTTTGAACCGCCGCCGTCCAGACGAATACAGCACTTTTAGTTTATTGTGAGAGTTTTGCCGAACAGATCCTGGAGGAAAGTTGTGTTTCCAGTGAACTTTAAAAATTAGAGGAGAATAAACTCGTCGTGTCATCAGAAGGTGGCGCTGTGGCTAAACAGCTGTAATTAACAGAGTAGAAAAAAAAAATAAACAGCTGTTGCCAACCAGTAAAAATCCTGGAAGATGACGAAGAAACAAACAAAACTTGAGAGCAAAATTGAGAAAAGTTTTCAGGAATTTTGTACATTTAGGAAAGTTGTAATGACGCAAAAGAGTCGGTTGCTCAGTAGCGCGAGTTTAATGTTCGCTACGTCAGAACTTAACCCCTTAAAAGGAGTTTTCATCTTTCATTAACTCCTTTTTTAAAAGTAAAAAAAACCAAACAAATCCAGTTAAAATAAGACTTTCTTTGCACATTTTTTCCCCCGCCATATTTTGCCATTTCTACAACTTAGTACTTCAAAAATACGACCACACAAGCCAACGCTAACAGCAACACAACTGAACCGACCGAGTGTTTCTCTTTATGACTCGTGTGCCAAACTGTCCCTAAAGCTGGTGTCATCTGCATAGAATCGAATTTGGCAAATGACAAATGGTTCACTGGGGCTGCCACAAATGACTATTTTTCTATTAAATAAGCTATCGACCATTCTACCGATACCTTTATTAATGTAATGAACAGTACAAACAGCGACATTTAATGCACTCCACAGGATTATAATTTAACATTTAATGTTGCTCGGATAAACTTTAACGTCACTCGGAGCCTCAAAAGGTCAAACGCTGGCGTCGAAGTGAGGACGATGCTGCTTACGGAGGATCTTTTTTTGTGATTTCCTAGTAATTCCAAGCAGAGTTGTTCCAAATGCGCTCACAGTTTTGCTGCTCGACAATCTCAGATTTGCCTGAAATTTGTACAGCATAAAATATGGATATTTCTAAAGATGTCTGAGTTAAACTGTCATCGACCGGCTGTAGATTCTGAATCAAAGACATGACGATAAACAGCTGTTCAGGATTTTGTGTTATTGTCGTTCAAACAACCTCAGATTTCAAATGTGCAAAACATACCCAGACTAAAATCGGATCGACGGGCAGATTTTTTCTGTTTAATCTCAAAGTAGTTCATATATCAAGCTGGAATTTCACAGACACAATCTGAAATGTCCATACTTTATGACAAAAGAAGACGGTCGAGCAGAAATCCTCTGGTGATCGTAAAAGCAGCAAAAACTACATTAAATGTACGAATCAAAGTGAGTCTAAGATAAATGGAGATAAATCGCCTCCAAAGTCCTGCACATTGTTGTGTTAGGAAAGTTTAAATAAAGAATTATCTGAGTTCGGTTCAGTTTTCGTCCAGTTAAAGGACACTTACGCCAAAACACACACACATGACGTCACAGTACGTTTGTATTAAACTTTCATGTCTCGAAGAGAAATCCCCCGTTTTCCCCCAAAACATGCAGTTTGTAGATGTTGTTTTGCACTTTAAAGTTTTCTTTTTGAATGTTTGTGCGCTGAGAAATGGATTTTATTGTCAAAGCGGTACCGTGTTGGACAGCAGTGGTGACGACTGTGATTCTTGCAGAGTGTTCTGGAGCTGCAGCAGCCTTATATGTACCAGTATGTAAACTTATAGCGCCTTCTTTTTCTCGTGTTACTTCTACCAAAACGTGTGCTCGCCGTCGCTAACATGCTCAAGCCGTCGGTCCTCTGTGAAGAAAAGTTTGTCCGACGGCCTCCGAACGCATGTCGGCTTCACGTTCCGTTGCTGACCTGTGAGTTTCTTTGCAGCTGCATGGCCGTTCTATATTTTCTACACTTTATCTCGACATGAGCCTCCGTAGTCCTGCTGCCGATCGGAGTTGTTGGTCTGTGATTGAGTCACGAGGTGGATTTTGTGGTCGAAGCACTTGCAGGAGTTTTAATGCAGCTAAAAAGAGTAAATTAAGAACGACGACTAGATTTCAACTTTTTCCTGCAACTTTTAAAGAAAGTGTACAAATTTCTGAGTTTGTGAATGTTTTCTTTTCAGTATTTTGGCCATTTTAACTCCTTTCGTTATGATTTCGACCCAACAGCTGCATTCGATTGATCTCAGACACTCTGTCGCTTTGGGAAACGCTTTTATTTTCTCTGCTCAGTTTAGTTTTAGAGACTTCCTACAAATTATCTGAATATTTTTGTGCATTTTAACCCTCTGAACCCAAAACTGCCAGTAGCTTTTAAAGTTATGTTATCTTTAAAGCAAAAAAAAGCCAAAATAACGGCGTTTATCAGAGCTAGAAACTGTGAAAACAGAAACTTTCCCACTGTCCTTGAACTAATCGTCTGTAACATGCTGCTCTGGGAGGTAAATTGACCAAATTTAGGTGTATATTTAATTCATTCTACATTTACGATTTTGCTAAAAAACAACACTGCTTGCGCTGAAAAAAAAAGTGTAAAATACAAATAATTCAGCGCTCTCCGGTGTATCTGTGAAGCCGTGACTGACTGGACTGTGACCAACAGTCACTCGACAACAATTCAGTTTTCGGCTGAACTGCAGGCAGTGTTTAATTAAAAATGAGCCCACGGTGAGTTGAAATGCTCAGAGTTCAGAGGGTTAAACCAACAACACATAAACAGTTGATTAGCGACGTGTAAAGGTGCTGCTAGCCTGGCTGTGGTACCTTTAAACAGAGCCCGGCTAGCAGTTTCCCTTTGTTTCCAGTCTTTATGCTAAGCTAAGCTAATTACCGCAGGTTTCAATCTCAGAGAAAGTAAATAAGCTCATTTCCCAAAGTGTCAGCGTGTCCTTCAAGGCTCTGATTAGTGTTTGGAGAAGGGATAGAGAGAAACATAAATTAATGAAACTGCTGAATTTCTTTATGGTAGGTTATTTTTTTTGTTCGTCGTGGCCAAACCAGCAGAGATTTTCATGCCTTAAGTGTCTGTACGAAGTGACGTGTGGTTGATCAGATTTTCATCGTCTAAATAAAAAATATATTTGAAGTGAACTTAAGGGTGTTTTTGTTTTATTGCATGTTTGTTTTAAGCTATTTATATTCATATCCTGCTACATGAAGTCCTGGAAACAGAACAACCATGATGTTGCATATAAACCTTCATTTATTGAACCAGCAGTGAGATTAAACATCTTCTTACACATTTTGAGTTGCATGAGATCAGATTTATAGTGTGTAAATAAACAAAATCTCTATTTTAGGTGTATTTTTAAAAATATTTTTCATTGTATTTTCAACCCCAAAACCTGACGGAGGCTTTTAAAGTCAAAATGATGGAACTGATCACGTTGACTTTCAGTTTTATTGGGAAAATTAACCGGATTTACGCTTCAAATTGTGGAATTTCATCTAAATCACTTTAGATTGTATAAAAAAAAAAAAAAAAAAAAGTAAACTCTTCCCTCCTCTGCACAGCTGAGAATCCTTGAGTGACTCAGCAAAAAAATCAGAGAGTTTTCAGCTGAACTGCAGGCAGTGTTTACACAGAGCAGACAAGCATGGACAGGAATTTAAAATATCTGTCATTCTGCACAGAACACATCTCTGAGTTCTTTCTCCTCCTTCATGTTCTGGTTCTGTAGAGCTGCAGGACTTCATGTTGCAGAGAAACACGAACAAACAGTGACCCAGCAACTGGAGTTCAGAGGGTTAAAGTCTTTATTTAAGGGGATTATTTGGTCTTTATTTATTGCACCCACGTCTAATCTGACAATAAAGCAGAGGAGATAAATTGTGGCAGCCGGTCGGTGAGTTTTCGGTTGGCGGAGGCGTCTGTTCTGTTTGCAGAGGAGGCGTGTGTGTTTTTACAGCCATGACCTGGACGTGACGCCGTGTGTGCTCTGACAACAGACGTAAAAAGAGACACGAACACTTGAGAGGGTGTCAGCGCTCATCTGCATGAACAAATTCAGCCGCACGAAGCTCGAGTCGGCAGTCGGCTGCATCCCGGAGCTGCAGAGGACGAATGGGTGAGTGACCTGTTTAATGGACTCATCACTTCACTGTGTTGGGGTTCAGAAATTAAAATCTAGTGAGTTGTCAAACATTAGACGCCGTTTGTCAACCTGCCGAGTTTGTCAAGTTTGTTAAGTGTTTCTTAATGGGTTGATGGTCACTTTGCATAAAACTAGAGTCTGCTGCTGATTGATTTGCTGCTGCAGCTTTAATCCTCTGAACCTCAAACACCTGCACTGAAATATGAAAATGTTGTCTTCAAATCTCCAACATTGCAGATTTTTAAGAGCCACTTTTTTTGGGCAGTTCTGCTAAAAAGTCCCTGAATTTGTACCATGTGACTGCTGTTAAATTGTTAAAGGATGCAGAGAATGAAATGATTTTAAGCTTAGATTTGGTTAATTATCCATTTGACAGATGATTAGTAGGAAAGTAGGACATTTAGTGGAACATTTTTACCTGTTTCTGGTTGATAAACAGATAAATGGTGTGATTTTGGTGCTTTTTTTTGTAAAGCTAGTGACCTTAAAACCCTGTTGGTGGGTTAAAATTACAGGAGAAATATTGGCAGCAGACCAGTTGAACAAAGAATAAAGGAAGCAGCAGTGGTTTGTGTGGACATCTGTCTTTTCTAATTTGTTATTGCTGCCTCCTCACGCTCTTTCTTTAAATGTTGTCTGCTCTACCTGCTTCTGTTGCTCTGATCTATTCTGAGTTTAGATCCGTCTGGAAAACGTCCGTCCGGCTCTGGAGGATCCACTGAGAACCAACATGCTCAGAGTCCAGCACAGTCAAAGGTAGCTGCTCAGATTTAATACTTCAGCTGTTTTTTAAAAGTTAAAATGAGGAAACACCGTGTTTACTGCCACAAACTCTGAGTATTCGTCTCACGTTGCGTTAGGATGAGATCTGACAGGAGCTCAGGAGAAATGATTCGAGTGACCGAAGTGTTCCTCGAGCAAAAAACTGATTAGTTCCTCTGCTGTCTAACACAACAGAACAGGACAGTACAGCTGACAGGCCTGCAGGGCAAACAGGAAAATAATGATCCAAATGCTTCATCCCAAACTCTGCTGAGCTTTGAACACGCAGCTCTGTCAGATGTAGCGTCGTCCAGGAAATTTAATTTGCTCACAAAACCTCCTGAGAAAACCACGTTTCACTTAAACAGACGACAAGAAAACAGAATCAGAGGAAAGCTGCTGTCAGTAACTGCAATAAAATCCACTTCTTCCGGCGTCCTGGTTCACACAAACGTCTTCTGTGCTGCAGCTCTTCAACTCATCAGAAGAAACTTGAACAAAACTGATGCTGTGAAACCTGATGAGAACATAAACACAGAAACCTGAACATCGCCAGTTATAATCTTCTTCCTGCTGCCTTCAGGATCCAGCAGCTGCTGTTAATCAGATCGATTGAAGTTCAGTGTAGCAGGACTCTGATCTCAAAGGTTTCTTATGATTACGTGATGTGCAATTAATCCTCTGAATCCCAAAACTCAACAGTCGCTTTAAAAGGTTTATCTTTAAAAATTTGCCAAAATTACACCATTTATCAGCCAGAAGCTGTAAAAACTGAAGAAAATTGTGGGATTTAAACTTTCTGATGGTCGCTGAGCTGATCATGTGTGAGGTGCCGTCAGAAAAACGTAACCACACTGAAGCTTAAAATTATGATGTCACGTCAAAATCACTTCATTCTACGTCTCATTTAAAAATGTGCCAAAAATAAATTATTTACTCCAACTAGATTCTATAAAAAAGAAAAAAAATTCTGTGCTCAGAGACTGAGAGGAAAATCCAACCTACTTTTTGTAAAAAAAAAAAAAAAGTGCTCGGTGTGGTTCAGAGGATTGAATGTCTGACCGTTGTGTCGTCCTTCTTGTTCAGTTCAGATCAGCGCCGGAGACCTTCAGCCTGACTCGCTGCGCCGCCTGCTACAACCAGAAGTCCAGCTCCACGTACCGCTGGAGGAACAACGGTGACTCCAGCTCTTCTGATGAAGCCTCTGGACCAGAGCCGGAGTCAGATGCAGAGCTCAGCTCCAGCAGCAGCTGCAACGAGGACGTTCTGGAAGAGACACCGGAGAGGAACTCACCTGTACCTGGAGACGATGCTGAGCCTGGATCTGAAGAACAGGAAGGACCATCGGAGAGCCAGGCAGAGGAGCAAAGGATGAAGAGGACGAATCCTCCAAGAGCTCCATTCGTCAAGTCCTTGTCTTTGCCGGCCTCCTTCAGTCCTCCCCCGTCCTACCATAAAAGGTTCGTCTCCACCCTTCACCTGAAGGTGTTGAGTTATGACGAGGACGCCGTCTTCAGTGTCCGCCTGGCAGAGAAGAAAGAAACCAAAAAAGAAGGAGGCGGGATCAACAGTCTGTTTCCTCAGCCTCCATTTCAGTGGAAGCAGATGGGGTTACCATGGCAACACCAACAACCAAACCAACACCAGTACCAGCAACAACAACAACCACCAAACCAAAACCGGTACCAACAACGACCATCATATCAACACCAGTGCCAACAACAACAACCAAACCAACACCAGTACCAACAACAACCAAGCCAACAACAACCAAACCAACACCAGTACCAACAACCATTAAACCAACACCCGTACCAACTTGTACCAAACCAACACCAGTACCAGCATCAACTACCATATTACCACCAGTACCAGCAACAACCAGCACACTTGTCCCAACAACTACCACACTAGTACAAACACAACCAAAACACCAGTACCAGCAACAACTACCACACTTGTACCAACCAACAAGATTAAAATTGAAACAACCACGCAACCATTATAATCAACACTTGTACCAACATGAACCACCATGTCAACACCTACAACAACTACCAAACCAACACCAATACCAGCAACTATCAAACCAACACCAGTACCACCATGGCAACACCAACAACTACTACACCAACATCAACCACCATATCAACACCTACAACAACTACCAAACCAACAACCACCAAACCAACAACCACCAAACCAACACCAGTACCAACAACAACAACCACCAACCAACATCTGTACCAACAACAACGACCATACCAACACCTGTACCAAGAGCAACAGCCACCAAACCAACACCAGTTCAACAACAACTACCACATTACCACCAGTACCAGCCGCATTTGTGCCAACAAGCATCACACTAGAACTAACAACAACCAACATGACAACGCCAAGCACAACCACATCAACATCAGTACCAACAACCAGCACAGCTTTGCCATAAGAAGCACCACACCAGTACGCCAACATCTATACCAGTCTTGCCACCCCTTCGATGCTCCGCTCACCCTTCCAGTCCCTGAAACCAGCGGACATCTGGATGTTTTCCCTCCACAGCTGTACCGGTTCTGTTACCGTCTTCACCCCTCACATCCTGGAGTCATTACAGCTGCACACATCTGCCCACATAATCAGACTGAAACAGTCCTGCAGTGTTTGAGAAATGTTTCGTAAGGACCACATGGGGCCACTGACTCAAAAAAACAAAACCCGAAGCCGAATTTCAGGAATTCTGTGATAGTGTTGTTGTATCTAAGCTGGTAGAAAACTACATGAATAGAAGATGTAATAAATCGCACACTGACATACTTTGGTTTCTTATTTTACAGCTAATGAGTCATCCTTTGAAACAGTCCAGGAGAGAAGATGCTGCGTTTTAGTGGGAAGAGTTCACCTGCAGGCAAAGTAGGCATTT